TTGGAAGCACTTCCCCTCAGTTTTTTGGAAGAGTGTGTGAAGAATAGGTTTAGTTCATCTTTAAAGCTATGGTAGGACTCACTCCTGAAAGCTTTCGGTTCTGGAATTTTGTCTTTTCGGGGACTTCTGTTAACTTTCAACTTCCTTGCATGTGATTGGTCTGACATGGTCTCAAAAAGCTGTATACCTCTAAGAAAATGACCATTTCTTCGAGGTTATTCTATTTATTGGCATACAGATGTTCATACTAAGGCTCTTATGACCCTCTGTATTTCTGAGATACCTATTGTTATTTCTACTCTTTCACTTTTGATTCTATTTATTAGCGTTTTCTCCCTCTCTTTCTTCATGAGCCTAGCTAGAGGTCTGTCTATTTTGTTTGTTTTTTCAAAGAACAAAAAGCCCTTTAGGATTTTTGATTTTTTTTGCATTTATTTATGCTCTGATTTTTATTATTTCTTCCTTCTACTGGCTTTTGGTTTTGTTTGTTCTTCCTTTTCTGTTTCTTTAAGATTTAAGGTTAGATTGCTTGAGTTTTCCTTGTCTCTAGGTGTGGGCCTGTATTGCTCTAGTACCTCAGGGTACTATTTCTGTTGCATCACAAAGGTTCTGTGACTTCCTTTTTGCTTGTCTCCAAGTATTTTTTTAAATTCTTCCTTGATTTCCTCATAATCCAATATTCATTCAGTAGTATGTTATTGAATCTCCACATATCAAAATTTTCTCTGCTTTTCTTTTTGTGGTTGATTTCCACTTTGATGCCATTATGACCAGAGAATACACTTGTTAAGACTTTAGTCTTCATGAATTTATTGAAACTTGCTTTGTGATCTAACATGTGGACTTATCCTGGAAAATGTTCCATGTGCACCTGAGAAAAACATATATTCTAGATGGTCTAATTCCTTGTTTAAGACTAGGAATTAGTCTTAAACTATTGATTTCCTCCTGATGGAGCTCCTGTTGATTTCCTCCTGATGGAGCTGTCCATTGATGAGTCAGTCGTATTCAAGTCCCCTACAAGTACTGTGTTTGTTGCCAATGTCTGTTTTCAGATTTGTTAATAGTTCTCTTATATCTTTTGATGTGCTTTCATTTGTTGTGTACATGTTGACGAGTAGTGTGTCTTCCTGATGTATTGCTTCCTTAATCATTACATAATGACCATCCTGTCTCTTTTTTGCTGGAAGTCTATTTTAGCTGATATAAGTATGGTTGTCCCTACCTTTTTTCAGTGTCCTATTTGCCTGTAAATTTGTTTTCCAACCATTTACTTTGGGACTATATTTATCTTTGGAGCTCGGACGGGTCTCCTGGAGACAGCAAAAAGTTAGGTTTTGTTTTCTGATCCAACAAGTCACTCTGTGCTAGCTTAATATGGTCTTTCTGGACTTCCATAGATCCAAAGGCCTGATCTTGCAGCTGCTTAGTCAGTCCATGTGACAGTCCACCAGGTGCGCTTTGGGGGCAGCAGATGGACCTGGAAGGATGATGTCATGGCGGGGGAAGAGAGAGAGACAGAGGTCCCAGAAATCTGAATAAAAGCACCACCATTGCACAAGCGCCAAAAGAGAGAGGGGAAGGAACCTCAGAGCTGGGAGCCGGATCCTGGGACTCGAAACTTGGTCTTGACACTTTTTGCTTATAAATCTTGAACAAATGTTTAAACATCTCTGTGCCTCACTTTCCTCATCTCTAAATTGAGATTTTAAGACCACCTGCCACAGAGGGTTGTGTGAGGCTAAAGTGAGTTAATAAATGTCCAGCACTGAGCACAGTGCCAGAACAACCTCACCCGTGGGAACCCACAAGAAGTGAAGGTGCCAAGCCGCACTAAGTGGGTGCATCTTCCCTGTTAAAGAGGGGATTTCATTCACACCTAGGGAAGCCAGAGTCTGCTTCCTCACCTTCTAATTCCATACTTCCTTGTGTTTTGTGGTGACCGGTTTCTACCTTCTTTTTTCCTATGAGTTTTTTATTGTTGTTTTCTTTGATTTCCCTGTGGTCTTATCAGAAGAAACCGAAAAACTTCTCTGAAGATGTTCTGACTAGGAGCTTGCAGGGATGCACAGGGGGTAGCAGGAAAAGCACAGCCCTTCTGAGTCAGCTAAACATGGGCCTGAACTCCAGTTCTGCCATTTAGATTAGTAACTGTGTTTCTCTAACTTCTCCAGAAGGAACGCTAATCCCTCACCTCAAGTACCTGCAGCCTGAAGAAGGGTAGCTGCTGTTGCCCACCTATAGCATAAAGGCTGTGCATGAAGGCTGTGAGGATTAAAGGCTCCGGCCCTGGCATACTCTGAGGGCCAATAAACAGGCCCAAATGTTAGCTGCATGGAGTCCTGTTTTTATTACTGGCAGCCAGGCTGGCATTCCTGTGGCTAGAGTCTGTTTAAGGGACCCAAGTCAGGTCTAAACTTTCTATTTGTTCATGTCATTAAAAAACATTTTCTCTTCATCTTTTAAGAGGTGCAGATTTACTTTGCTAAGGTTTTGTTGAAGCCCTAAGCCGTATTGTAAGGTGCACTTAACCTGATTAGATATTGGTATCGGTTTTGTTGTGAGTCTTGGGAAGATAAAAGGCAAGCCTTGATGGCTCCTCTATTTGCACTCGCATTTCCTTTTATGCCTTGGTGTATGGCCGGTTAGGAGCACAGTGAGCTGATAACCTTTTGTGTTTAATTCTTCATGTACTACTTTCGCAACACAAAAGCTGGAATGGCCCAGCTGATGTTGTATAACAATGAGTGTAATCATATACCAGAAGGCCTGTCGCTATGAAAATACGAATAAAGATTCAAAAACTGACCTCATTTGGTGGGTTGAACTGTTTTAAGGGTACTTTTTAAATTTTTTTTTTTTTTTTTACTGATTACAAAAGAATACGTGTTCATTTAAAATAATTCGGAAAACTAGAAAAGCTCAGAGGAGAAAACCTTACCACTTTGGAGTGGAAAGTTTCTACATAAATCCTGTAAATGCTTCCCGATGTCCCCTCCCTGGGGAGGTGTGTATGTGTGTAAAAACAAACCTCAAATCATATGAAACTTGCCTTTTAAATTAATGTGGGCATTAACGCATTTATTCAAGCAAACTAATTGAACTAAGTGCCAGGCCCTATGTAAAATAGAGAGGATGAGGATATATAAAAATCATTAAGGGCCTCCCTGGTGGCCTAGAGTTTAAGTCTCAGCGCTATCACCACGAAGGCCTGAGCTGACCCACATGGCGCAGCAGACCTCTCCTGTCTCCCTGCTGCTCCCCTCAGCAGTGGATTTCAGTAGATCCGACTGTTCTGCTCCCCTCTCTCTCTGGTGGATCCTCTCACCTGCACCCCTCATCTGTCCTGCACCCCAGTTCTTCTATGCATAAATAAATCTTTATAACTGCTGATAAAGGCACAAGTAAAGCGCCCCAGTGCATACAAAGGGAGCAGAGGAAACTCTGAGGGCTACAAAGTTATCTGGGAAGCTTCTCCAGGAGATGACACTGAACTGTTAGTAACAATTAACTCAGAAATTCACCAGGCAAACGAGAAGGAAGCATGTCAGCTGAGCACCCAGCAAGAATGCTGCCAATGTGAAACTACCAAGTTAACCTGAGTTACTAGCAAAAATCCAGTATGGGTCAAAAAAGTGAATGGGGGTGGGGAGAAGACAAGGCTGGAAAGGCAGAAGTCAGACAACAGCCAGCCACTGAGGGATTTCAAGCAGGGGGTTGACATGCTCAGATTCATGGCTTGGGTGAGAAAATAGGCTGCAGCTTTAAGTGTTAAGAAAAAGGGGGAAACTAGAGTGATCGGTGAAAGGAATCGGGAAGACAGTGAAGCTCTAATGAGAAGGGAGAGGAGAGAGACATCCTGGAACTATCAGTGAACCTGAAGTCCAGATGCGTAAACTCTTCCATTTCTCTCTCCCTCCCACAGCTCCTGGAAGTCGGCTGCAGACAAGTGCTGCTACATGCTGGAGAAACAAAGATGATAGAATGTGACCTGATTCTTACCCCTCAAGAGCTCACATTCCAGAAGGAAGTAATAGGTGAAAATGTATTATCTGTACTGGCCCAGCCGGCCCCTTCTTCTTCAGGAACAGACTCCACTTTCCTTCGGGAAAACCATTCCTTTCTGAGTCACATCCCAGGCCTTTCCTGCAGGTGCCCCTGCTCCCAGAGTGGTGCATGAACAAGGTCAGGCCAACGGGAGCATCTCGCTGCCTGGACCACACTGGTTCAGGCCTAAGCATGTGCCTCAAACCAGGCTAACAAGATCACTCCTGGAGGAATCTGGTAGAACTAAGAAAAGAGAAATGGCCATTATCTTGTAAGACTCCATGTGACAAAGACTGCACTCCTTGGCGGTCAGAACCCCCTGCATTATCAGGTGAGAGTCTAACCAGCAAAAATCATACAGAGGAAACAGAGCAAAACAGTGATCAGATGGTACCTTTTGAGAATTTGGACACAGTCATAGACTCCAAAGCATCTAAGGAAGTCAACAGATTCCCTTTTTGGCTACAATGTGTTTGTTTGGGCTTTGCAATGGTAATGAAAAAGGTGCTAATTCAGGGACAGAGACAGAAACCTGTAACAGCAATGTAAGGTGATGGGTGCAAGAGCTCCTTATAACAGACAAGTGACTCAGGAGAGTGCGTTAAGTCTTCCTGTATGTTATGATAATCGAGGGACTTTTCACGAAAGAGTTGATGTTTAAGTAGTCTTGCAGAATTAGCCATCTAGCAAGAGAATAAGAGCAACAGGATATTCTGTGCAGAAGACAAAGAATGAGCAGAGGCAAGGAAGCAGGAAAAGCAAGGACTTTGGGGAAGTCAAAAGTCTCTACTATGCACTGAGTTCACAGTGGCAGGCAGAGTGTAAGTAACTGAATGACCAAATCAGGCCACTTCACCTCTCACTTAACCTCTGCAGACCACAGCTGTCTCAGAGGCAAAATTAGCCGAGGAGAACAAATCACTACGAATTGATAAAAATATTAAAGACCTTACCTGCTGATAGAATTCGTCATCTTTGGGGGTCAGATAAGGAAGCCAAGTGTCTTCAAGCTCCTCAAGAAGCCTCAGTTTCTGTTAAAAACAATGATTATAAATTACTAACTATAAAGTGAGCCCAAGTACAAGATAATACCTTAATTTTCCAATAAGAGAATATGAAAAGAATTAGTCCACTTGAATGTACAGATTTTGAAAGAGAAAATCATCAAATATCAATTCTAAGATAGATCAATTTAATTATACACATTTATACTATGCATTGTGTAAACCACTAATTTATAAGGAATGATTTCATTCAGTCTCACACCTCACAACACACGCAAGTCACTCTTTACATGGACCCTAGACAGGGTCTTTTCTGTCACTAAAGTCACATTTTGAGTCATCCAATACTGAGTTCCAGAGAAAATCTTCCTGTCTCTTGAATCTGGTTGAGACATGGCAGATTTTGAATAAGTCTACGCTACTATCACTGGAAAAAATAAAATAAAAAAAGCCACTAGTATCCACTTGCGCAGCACCAAGATATTTATTCTTCCTGTAAACATTTATTTGCAATCACATCCACTTACAGTGCATTACTTTTAAAGCAATCTCTCAGCTCTACAATAATTACTAAATCTGTGCTGAGCACCTTTGCTTCTTTCATTTTCCAATTATTCAAGATTTTTTTTAAAGATTTATTTTATTAATTTATGCATGCAAGAACTGGGGTCTAGGCCAGAGGTGCGGGGGGTGAGAGGATTCACCAGAGACAGAGTGGGGAACAGAACAGGCAGACTGACTGAAATATGCTGCTGAGGGGAGCAGTGGGTAAGACAGGAGAGGTCTGCTGCACCATGTGGGTCAGCCCCTGGCCAGATAAAACTCATGCCACTTTGGCTGGGAATAGCTTCATAGTGCTGAGATTTTAACCCCTGCGCCACCAGGGAGGCCCTGTACAGTAATCTTGAAAAGCATCCACAAGTACAGCACAGTCTGAGGCCATTTCGGGATATGATGCCTTCACAGAATAGTACCAACTAGCCCACCAAGTATTCAAATAAGGTAACCAAGAGAGGACTCCATGTGATCAAGAGCTTTATAAGGAATCAAATACATAGAGAGGTGATTCTTCCTTCTGAGGGATTCCTTTCAAAGCACATCTGACATTAAACTCAGGCATACATGGTCTGTGTACATGCGGCCTGTACATGGTATATGTGTGTGTACAAACAGGTACACATAGAAATTACCTGCATTCTATAGGAATTTTCTGGAAAAAAAAATAGAAAGGGAAAAAAGCAACTGATTTTCAAATAAAACTACAATTAAATATGTCATCAGGCTATTTTCAGTTAGTAATACACCTTTTAAAGGATTAGAAAATGGTACACCTCTCCAGTGGGCACTGTCTTTATACGGTGAACAACCTGCTTGGCCAGATGTGGTGGCCCTGAGTGTTATGCTCCCCCACCAGGAAAGGTGCCTTCCCCATCACCCTCAGCATAGTCCAGGGCCAACATCCCTTTGGGTGGAACTCAGTTCTTTCTGAATCTTTGTATGATTGTCCAAAGTGAATAAAGAAAAAGGAGAACAGAAATACAGCAACCAGTTGATCTAAAAATGTTAAAACAGTTAACATATACTTTTATGCCCAATTTTGTTTCATTAAAGCGTTCTGCCTTGTCGGTATTCTCTCATCGGCAATAAAACTAAGGCTAGCTTACCTGTAGGAACAGTTCTTCTTTACAGAAGGCCTGCAGTGCTAACACTGCACAAACTATCACTTCAGATTAATCACTGGGTAAGTGCTATTGTCAACATTAGTGATTATTTGGGACTCAAAAAGAACTAATGATATTTCTATGTATAAACTTGTACATTGTGTGCTCGATCATGAATGTAATGAAAATCTACAGCTCGCCTTCTACTTCAAGTTCAAGAAAGGCCGCATTTCCCTATGAATCTTTTACCAGTTCTTAGTTCTTTTCATAGACAGCATATTTAAATGCCAAAAAGAATTATTAAGCCATCATTGATAACCTATTTAAATGCACACAGTATTTCAATGCTGAAATGATTCTATCTTACAAACACTACTTGAAAATCTCTTCAAGGAGTTTTTAAACCACGTAAATATATATTACCTGTTATAAATGCAATTAGGTTTCCTATTCATTCTTAACAAGAAATTCAACATAAAGACGAGGACATTATTGGGGCTCTGTTTTAGAAAGTGCACACTTTGGGGAGGCATGATGAAGTATTTGGGAACCTACCATAGTCGAGCACACGAAAGGATGAAAAGCAGGGAAAAAACGGCTTTGACAATTTCTTTGTGTCAAATGCCAACCAGTTGGTAAACACATGCAACATTAGAATGCAGCGCGAGTGCAGGTGGAAGGCGCGTGTTTGACTGTCAGATCTGGCTCGCTGCGGCTCACGGACACATCCACTTGGCGGGCCCGCAGCACAATGCTCTGCCCGCACTCCCGCGCTGTCACACTCATCATGTCAAATGCATCAAGCTGCTCACAAGTGCCACACAGAAAGTCAGACAGTGTGCAAAGCCTGGGCTCCCCTACCTGGCTGGAGGGGCACACGAAGACCCTTCTGTGAGGGGTGAACCGGTTCCCATAGCTCCAGCCACCAGGACACAAGAGCTCGAACATGTTGCAACTCAAAGCCATAAAGGTTTGCAGCGGGACATTAGAATCTTTAACCCTGTGCCTCTGATTTGCTGTTAAAAGTTAAGCTGTATCTAAGCTTGCATATCTTGTCAAATAGAGCTATGGTTTGAGAGTCTTAGATTAATTACATAAAAAGATTAACAGGATTATGACTCATAATGTGAGGGGATAGCTCACCTACAAATGAACTGTATTTTCTATGCCACTGCTGTCTCTTCAGTCTCATCAGATGGTGCCTCTAACTACTCTCTTTATCCATTTTTGATTTTTCGCATGATATATTTGAAAGGATAGATCGTATTTTGTCGGGTTCAATAAGAATTTACTTTTGTTGTCTGAGTCATTTTCAAAATACAGTCACAAATAAAGGTTTATGAATGTTCAGGTTAAAATGAATCACCCAGTCAACAAGTTTTCATACAGTAAGTAAGTGGGAAAGAAGAATCTAGTCCTCAAGTAGGGCATGAGTGAATGAGGAAGACCTCCCTTTAAAAGACACCAAGCTAACACCAGTCTTCAAACTAACACCAGAAAGACAAGTAAGAAATAACTAAGCCAAAAGAAGTATAAATATTTCATCTACACATATGCCATGTTTGCTTTAAATAAAAACAAAACTGTCACCCATTTCAACAAATTCAGCATTCACTTTCCTACAAACTCAATGAAAATATGACGATGAGAATTTGGAGATGTGAGTAACATTCGAGTCCTGACTCTACCACTTCCAAGATGTGGGACCACACCTGGGAATCAAACTCTCCAAACTTCCATTCCATATCTGTAAAACACTCTCTCACGGGGTGTTGTAAAAATGAAATAAAATAATTCATATGTATTAGTGCATTCTGCAAACATAAACTCTACATACATTAGGCAAATAGCATCCAAATGGAAGAAGGGTTATATAACAAAGTAGAAGAAGTTAAACTATAAGTTCTAATGCCAGTTCTTCCAAATATGTCTTGGGACAATTTTGTTATCTCTCTGAGAGGTAAAAATGAAGTAACACATATAAAAGCCAAAATACAGTGCCTCGCACAAAGAAATCTATGAAAACAATACAGTTAACATCATACCTAGTGATGAAAGACTGAATGATTTCAGTACAATCTGGAAAAAGGCAAGTATGTCAGCTGTCATCCCTCTATTCAAGACTGTAATGAAGGTTCTAGTGATTGTGATAAGGCCAGGAAAAGAAAGAAGAGAAAAGATGAAAAAGATAGAGAAAAGATGAAATTCTCTTTATTTGCATAGGACATAAGCACCTGTATAGAAAATCTTACAGAATCTACCAAAAAAGCTGCTACAACTAATACATTCAATAAAGTTGCAAGATAAGACTGTAAGGTCAATACACTAAGATCAATTGTATTTCTATATACTGTCAACCAAATACCTGAAATTGAAATTTTTAAGAATGCCATTTACATTCACATCAAAGATTTGAAAGTTCTTGGGTGGAAATATGAGAAAAGATTTTCCAGATATAGTTTAATAAGAAATTAAATTTTTAAATAAATGTAAAGAGAAACTATGTTCATGGATCAGAAGACTCACTAAGATGTCAAAATGTCCCCAAAATGATGCAATACCAATCGAAGACCCCTGAAGTTATTTTGTAAAAATGGGTACCCTATTTCTAAAAGTCATGTGAAAATGCAAAGATCTAAACTGGCCAAACGACTTTGCACAAGAAGACAAGCGTTAAAGAATTTCACTCTAGCATCAAGGCTTTTTATAAAACTAGAGATATCAAGACAGTGTGGTATTGGTATCAAAGTAGACAAATAAACAGAACAAAATAAAATCCAGAAATAGACCCATCTTTTTATGGTCAATTGATTTTTAAGAATCATTCAAAGAGAGATAATAGGTTAATTTAAGCTCCTTCATTGTCATTCTACCTTCATTATAATTCCAATCACCCCTTATATTTCCAAGTGGAGGGGAAAAAACAATCTCTTCATGGCCACACCTGTTTAGATAAAAAAGTCAAATTCTCTCAATCGTATTTCAACCTTCAGGGAACTTTCCACCTTGAAATTTTATCTTAGCAGTCCGCTTGAAGGTCAGAGGACAAAGCTCTATGAGGTTTCACCATATGTCTTGCCCAGATTACCATTAGCATGATCAAACTAAGCATTTTCCTGCTAGCAGTCCAGTTGTAAATAACACTTGAGGCCAGTAGGATTTCTGACTTCTTTGTAATTTTACAAAGCTTTAACCATTAAACCATGATTTAACAACCTGCCACGGGAGAGCAGGTGTACATGATGTTGCAGTAAAGGCATCAGTCAGTGACCTGAGTGACTGTCCATTTAATAATCCTTAGTGCTCTGCTGTCCCTCTATGGTTCTCTGCTGTTTCCCCAGCAAGTGTTACATAATCAGACATTAG